CATCTCTTATTCTTCTACTACTATTCATCTATTGCTATTGTTCAACTTTTCTTCTTACAATATATACACAACAAACTCAAAATCAACAATATCATCACACCCTCTATTGATATCCACACCATCATTCCCATTGTCACCTAACTGCCTGATTCAAATCATGTCACCGAAAGATGAGATAGAGTCCCTAAACCACTTAAAAACAATAGACACGACGAAGTTTTTGAAGTCGATGTAGGAGGAGACGGAGGGAAAAGACTGGAGGACAATAATAGTGACAGAGATGTAATGGTTGGAGTCAGTCGGGAGGTAGAAGATGATGGAGGAGAAGAAGATGACATGAAAGGAGCATGAGAAGATGGGGTGGTCGAAGGCGAAGGAGTTGGTGGGGTAGTAGGTGGTGGAGAAATAACAACGATTGACGGTGGAGTTGCAGCAAAAGATAATGGAGAAGAAGTGAAATTTGCTGACGGTGGTGACGTAGAGGCCGGAAAAACCATTGGGGATGGAGATGATGACTTTGTTATCTCTAGTAAAATAAAAACTCAGGAAAAAACTACAAAGCTCTAAAGAAAATTTGAATCTTTATAGGTTTTAGTTAGCAAAAACAATTTTTTTTTGAGAAATGTTTTAAGATGTTGAACTCTCAGCGGCACTATGATGTCTACCATAGCGTAGAGAGTGAGTATTCAAGAATACTCACTAAAGTAGTTTTAAAGCATACTAGCTTGGGTGCGAGGCCTAACACTCAAGGAGTGGGCTAGTAGAACAGAATAGATAGTAGAATAGATAGCAGTAGACTTGATAGCTTGAGCATGTCATGAACACTTTTAGTATGGCTTAGTTGTTAGTGTGACACTGGCTAGTTAGTTCAGCGTTTTGAATTTGTTTCCTTATGCATGTTAGACGAGGAGTAATCCAAGGACTTTTTGGGACCATCAGTGATCCAGACCAAATTAGTGCAGAGTACGTCTCATGTCATCTTTACAGAGGGCATGTATACATGTGAAACCTTTGTATATTTTTGTATGGTCATTTTTGAGCGATGGTGTGTATGATTTAAAATAATATTTTTGGGAGCTCCTAATGTAAATCATTTTATTTAAATTGTGGTTGATTCATTTTAGTGTGATTTTTTACAATGGTCATTTTTAAAGCGGAAAATTTAAAAGAAAATTTTGGTTAACCACCCCGGTGGTTCCATGTAACATTCTGATCGGTTGACTGTGTGTCGTACTTGTTTAGGATGTTACGTTTAGTGATATCAGAGCATTAGGTTTAGATGTTCTTAGGACCTGTAGGTCAGTAAAAGTTTATGAGTATGCATGCCTTTAGAGACGTAAAAAGTACTTCTGCTTTTGAACAGTGATAGTAACTTCTCTTATGGTTTAAAATTTTCAGAGTTAAATATGGATAAGAGCCCAGGTTATAGTCAGGAGGGTAAAGACGATAATAAAGCTTCCCTTGTGGGCGATATTGGTGATGACTTCGTTCAGAAGATAGATTTTGAGGAGTCCGGGGATGCGGGAGTTGAGGAGGCAACTTTCTTTAGAGAGATGAATGCTACCCTGAGGCGTATAGCTAGAGCCTTACTGAGGACACCAGTAGCCCCACCTATTCAGCCAGCCCCACCTTTCATAGCTCCACAAAAGTCCCCTGTTGAGAGGCTCCAGAGGTATCGGACCATAGATTTTTTCGGGTGAGGAGGTGATGACCCAGTAGTAGCTGATCAATGGTTGAGGGAGACTCATATGACCCTTTATCAACTACACCTCACTCCCAATGGTATGCTAGAGTGTGTCACCTTCTTGCTGAAGGGTTACGCAATTGATTAGTGGGATACAGTCGAGATGTCTATGGAGCCAGAATGACCTACCTAAGATTAGTTTTTGGAGGAGTTTCGCCAGAAGTACATAGGTGAAGCTAACATGGATAATCTAAGGGATCAAATTTTACAGTTGATGCATGAAGATCGTTTTGTGTTTGAGTATGAAGTGAAGTTCCTTTGACTCAGTCAGTTCGTACCAGAGTTGGTATCGTCGGAGCATTTCTGCTGTAGAAAGTTCAGGGTAGGCCTCTGCCATGATATTCTCACTCATCTATCTGCCAATCCACCTAGAGTTTTTCTGAGTTGGTCTACCAGGCCAAGGCCATAGAGAGGGTGCCAGGGAGATGAGATACAGTTGTGAGTGCTACTCCCAGTCAAGTCAGGGGAGCTGCAGAGTCATCTGGACCATCACAACAATTGAAAAAAGTGTGAGACTCTCAGGGTTCTTAGAGAGCCTCGTTGGGTCAGTCTAGTAGACCCGCCAATTAGGTGAGTAGATAAGGTGGTAGGTTAAATCATCGTAAGAGGTCGTTAGTTACTACCTTAGTAGCGAGTTTTAAAGGTTCATCGAGGGCATAATCTCAACCCATCTGTTCAGTTTATGGTCGGAAGTATGCATAGGCATGTCGACATGGGTCCAGAGGTTATTATAGATGTAGTTCTTTTGGACCATTTTATCAGAGAGTGCCTAGAGGCTAGAGATGTGGCGCCAGCTTCGATGCAAAGGTCAGCTCCTACAGTTCATATAGGTAGAGGATCTCATAGGGGTGGTAGCTTATCATCTGGTCAGACTGGCAGAGGTGTGGGCCAATCAGGGGCCAGTACAGAGCCAAAGTTGCTGCTCGTCAGTATGTAGTCCGAGCCCAGGAGGATTTGATGCAACAGATGTTATTTCATGTACTTTTACAGTGTTTTCTCTTCTAGTTACTATGTTAATCGATCCAGGATCCAACCATTCCTATATCTATTATGATCTAGCTCAAGAGAAGAGTATCTCGATTGAGAAGCTTAAATTAGGGTTCAGAGTATCTATCCCTTTAGGATTAGATGTCCTACTAGACAAGGTCCACCGTAGATGCCCTATTGAAATTAATGGTGAAACCTTCCCCGTCGACCTTATGAAGCTACCTTTCAGAGAGTTTGATTTAATTTTGGGCATTGACTGGTTGTCAGAGCATGATGCGAGCTTGAGGTGCAAGCTTCGACGGCTTAAACTCGGGAAAGAGGACGGGACGCAGATTGTGATGTTTGGCAAACAACCTATGTACGTAAGGATTGTGTCGGCTCTTAAAGCTCAAAGGATGTTGGATCAGGGGTTCTGATTGGCATGTTTAAGTTCAACTTTACAACCATCAAAGAATTCAAGTTTGAATTTTCTACCACAAGAATAAATTCAAGTTGACAAGTGGCATTGATGGACACCAAACATTGGCAAGTTGGTCCAAGTTGGCAAGTTGGTCCAAGTTGGCAAGTTGATTCAAGTTGGCAAATTGGCAAGTTGACAACTTGTGTACATCGGAAAATTATCATTTTGTCCTTAAACTATTAGTTAATTTGCAAGTTTGGTCCTTGAAGCTCAACTATAAATAGGCATAAGCACTTTCACTTAAAGCATTCCAAAAAGTTCATTCTCTCATTTTGTAATATTTTGAGAATTCTTAGGATTTCCATTTGTTGTAATATTTTGTTCGATAGTGAAGTTATCATCCTTGGTGGTACCCAAAGAGTAGATATTTTCGTTGAACCTCGTAAATTTAGTGTGTTCTCTCAATTAGTGTTCTTTATTGGGTTTTCCCGTTGTGCTTCAATATTCAATAGTTTGATGGGTTTGTTCGCTTTGCAATTTTGGTAGTTTTGATCTTGACGTTTTAGTTCAATTTTGAAACTACGTTTGTGTGGGAAATAACATGGTTTCTCCAACAATGATGACTCCCTAATTTTTATTTTCTTCTCCTCCTTATCCTGATTTTAGTTTTTTTTTTAAAAAAAGTTTTTATCTCTCTTTTGTTCTCACTAGGAAATGAACATCTAAGTCGCCCAGTCTAGCATCCAAAAAAATCAACAAATATGAAGTATTTTGAATCCTTCCCCTGCACTCTTATTTATGAAATAATGATTTGGGAACCATAAATTTTAATTGTGAATATATAAAAAAGGTAAAAGAGATGATACCTTTTTCGGAGTGAAATGAGAAATACCAGATCCACCAGCACAATGATACATTTCGTTAAACTTTCAAGGCATGGCCACTATTCTTAACTCGTCATCATTTCAATACCAACACAAGTTTTCGACCAACATATTAGCCTTTGTCTCCCTCCCCACGTAAGCATCATAATCGTCAACTATAAAAGTTGTTGGTCAAACAGTCACATTATGTTCTTTTTTAAGTTTGAGGATCACATTAAGTACGAAAAAAATTCGATGATCACATTGATTTTTTTTAGAAAAGTACGGGGATCTCTTATTCTTTTTGCCTTTTATTTTTAATGAAAATAAAATTATTAATTGAATTAAAAAAAAACTTAATGTGAGGCTATATATAATCATTGAGTTGTAAATGTGAAGGAAGAAACATTAATTTAAATTCAAAATTTCTTTTATTCTTGTATAAATTAGTATTTAAAATATATAATATTTATCCAACTAGTAGACAATTGTATGATTTGCTTCAATGGTTTGCTGTTACTAAGTTCTATGTTTGGCGTTAACTATTGTATAACATATATAAAATATCCTGTATTACATAACACAACAGATATGCTTGGTTTAATGGCTAGGGCGTGTCATTATTTGATTGAAACAATTAAATTTATTTAACTAAATTAAAATCAAAATGATATAATATATAAATATTGAGTATTATATGTGTAATTATATTAGTTTTATTGACTGTCACATCAGTACTTCTGTTAAAAGTTAATCGCAATTGACTTAATTAAATATAATTAAATAATTAGGTGATTTGATTAAAAGATTGGTGATAAAAATAAAAAGTTTAACAGTTGGAGTAGTCAATGATACAATTTACCCAAAGATTAAATTATATCAAATCAAGGCAGAATAGTGGAGGGACTAAAACCAAAATTAGATCAATCGTCATACCCTTTACAACCCGGGGGATTTCTTCTTCCGGGTCGTATTGTCTCGTTAACCCGACTCGTGTGTGTGAAAACGAATGTCTGTTGAAGTAGTTATCGAAGTGCACCTAGAAGACTTTCCAAAATTTGAAGCTTCCAGCAATGGGCGCCTCTGAATCTGCCCTCTCTGGTTCTTTATCGGTAAGTTTCCGAATTCTCTTGAAAAACTTCAAGCTTTTCAGCTGGGTTCTTTTTATAGCTTAACTTTGTTCTGACATTGATTATTGGTAATGAAGAGTTCAACCGATCAAATCACTACCATTTCAAAGCGATCAGAAACAGTTGATCCCGTTTTAGAGAAGCTCAAATCCCTTAAAATTGTAAGTTTTTACTCTTTTTCAGGTAATAATTTCGCCGTGAAAATCACTGGAACTTTATGGATTTTTTCCCCTTTTGTTTTCAATTGTAGTCGTCGCCAATACTGACGACACCGCCAACGGAGGGTAGCTTAACTGACATTTTAGTTAGAAAGCCATCATCATCTTCGGCACAAGGTGTGCTTCACGTCCCTATTTTGTGTTTTTACAAAATCCTCCCTAATAAGCTTTGACAATTATTAAGAAAATTATAAGACGATTGAATGCTTCATAAGTGAAAAAAGGGTTTTAATCTCTTCGTTGCTTTTATGGATTTCATCACTTATTTCTTTCTTTATATCCATGTATCAGTGTTCCTGGTTGATAACCCCAGAAAGAAAGTGAAACTCATAGTCCGTAAAATTTATACATAGGTTTCAACTTTTCTGAAAGAATTAGGGGTTTTTCTAATTTTCGATTGACAGGAGCTCGAAGGCTATATATGAAGCATTTAGTTAACGTTATGCAGCTGTTATGTTCTACATTTTTCATAATTTAATTTGGAACGTGGGTTTCACTCATGGAGGTTGTTTTCCTGATGAATGGTTTGTCTGTTAAGATCACAGTACATCCGTCATCAAAGTGATTTTACAACTCTTTACTTGGATGAGCTTAAGCTTTGACTGGTCATCAAGTCCATAAGGAAGCCAAGGAACCAAGAAAAATTAGTAGACTAGCTTACCCTAGGGAGTGGTATCGGAGTAATCCATTAGATTCAATGGTATTTGTACATGCCAGATTCTTGTTTCTTTGCTTTTTTTTTGTGAAGAGCCATACACTGTAAGCATTCTGTAGCTATTCGGAATGTCATTCCCGATTCAAGTCTCATTAGATTTGCATCCAAGTGATCTTGGCTTTGCATTCATTAAAGACTTCTATTCGCTTATTTGTATATTTACTATTGTTTTAGATTGCTTTCTAATCACCTTGTTAAGCATATGTATAAAGTATTCCAGTTGCTAATTGTGGATTATACTGAATGGCCTAAGATAAGATTTGAAAAACTCTCTAATTTTAGGGAAATTCATATGCATAAAATTAAACTAGATGAACAGAACAAGAGAAAAGTAGAGCAATGTTGAAGGGAAAGAAAACCTGTGGCTACTTTTCAGAAATCATGGTAATCTGGGCTATATAGGTTAGTATGATCTTGAATATGCTCTTGAAGTGCTAAATAGTTTCTGATTTTGTTCAGTGGTTGTCATAACATTTTATGCTGGGTTTAAATAATTTCTTTTTGGACTATTGAAATAGCTACCGTGGATCCGAAGGTGTTGGTGGAACTCTTCTCAATTTATCGTGATTGGCAGGAGGAGAAGGCTCAAGAGATTAGCAAGAAACAGGTTTGCATCTCTGTCATAAATTTATGGGTTTGAGAATACCTATTGCAATGTCATGGGGTGGGATTACTTCTGCAGTAGATAATTTTTCGACATGTCGAGCTCTCATCTTCCATAAATTTCCTTCAAATGTACACATTTCATTGCAGGAAGATGTAGAAAACAAAATAGAAGTTGCAGATGCTTTGGCGGCTAAACTTCTCCAACGTTTTAATTACTCAGTTTCCACAATGAAGACGACTTCACAACATTTATCAGAAGGTAATCCAAGTTTCTTCTCAAATAGAGAGCGCAGATCGACTGTTGGTAATCATTTTGAAGAACATGATTCCTCTTAAAATCTAAATTAACTAGTATTGCATGTAGTTCACACAATGCAAGTGGAGCTTGGGGAGCTAAAAGGAAGGTTAACTGAGGTCCTCTCCAATTGTGACGCACTGTGCAAGAGGATTGCTGCAGAGGGGCCAGAACCACTTAGGTCGTCTATCAAGCCATTTGCAGTTGCCACTGCAAACTCGGCAGTAAACCGTAACTCGTCTTCAGATCAAGGACTTATACCAACAAATCAAAGCTCTACATCTATAGAAGACAACATAGAGTGACACTTTAGTGTTTCACCCGTACATAATTCATACATTCTTTTACTATACAGTTTTTTTGAGATCTAATTTTATTTGTATACTTGTTAGGGATGTAATCGAGCCGAGTCGAGCTCGAGTATTGTTGAATTCAACTTGACTCAACTCAAAAAGTTCAAATACGAACACGAATATGAACCTTGGATACATGAAAATGTTATATTACATTTTTTAGAAAAATAATAATATATAAATATTAATATTACAAATAACTAATTTAAAAAATTATTTTTTAGTTGCCCATTAACATCGAGTTGAGTATCAAGTAACTCATTTTGATTTATTAAGAACTTTAGTTCCCTTTGATTTGTTAATAACTCGTGTTCTCAAGCTTTTTTGGCCATTCTGGTAAGGACAATTCAAGTAACATAATCCGAATTGAAAACAAGAACATTGCTCAAACGACACAAAACAAAACCATTGTCTAAAATAATAATATCGAGTATTTTATAAAATAAACACGTATAAATAGAATGTTAAAGTGGAGGGCTGCTACTGGAGTTTTGTGTGATAAGAATGTGCCTCTAAAACTCAAGGAAAAATTTTATAGAATGGCAAAAAGACCAGCGTTGCTGTATGGATCAGAATGTTGGGCAATCAAGAAGGATCACGTAAGGAAGATGGAGGCCGCATAAATGAGAATGCTTCGATGGGCATGTGGTAGGACTCTGTGGGACATGACACCAAACTCTACTATTAGGATGTCTTTGGGGGTGGCGTCTGTATACGAAAAATTGAGGGAGGGAAGACTACGGTGGTTTGGACATGTCCTTAGGCGACAACCGTCGGATGCGGTCAGGAGGGTAGAGTCGATTACAGTCGATGGTGCCAGAATGAGAGGACGACCAAGGAGGAACTGCGTAGACTGCTTGAGATCTGATTTGAATGATTTATCTCTTACCGAGGACATGACCTCTGATAGGAAAGTATGGAGACTTAAGACTAGGGTAGCCGAGTAGTGTGGGTCAACAACCATAGGGTGTAGCATCTCTGTTCTTCTTTTTAATTGCCTTTGTAGTAATTTTCCATGATCTCTACTTTTTATACGTTCCTTTTATTGGAATTTATGAAGGCTTAAAATTAGGGTAGCGGAGTTGTGTTGCCTTAGTTTAGGTTTTAATCCATTTTGACTTTATTCCTTCTCGTAGCTTACTATCGCTGACGTCTGTGTATCATTCTCTTCATGTTTCCTCTTTCTAAATTTAGCCGGGACTTACGTTTTTTTCTATATGCAGAGATTTTTACGCAGGGATTTATTTGCAGGGATTACTTCCCATTACAGACGCGCATATGAATGACTACATATAAAGACTGTTCAACTATGTATTTATTTATTTATTTATTTATACATACATGATATTTTATCTTTATTTTTAATTTTTTGACTGTCGGAGGTCTTCCACGGAAGTTACACTCAACCTGGTGTTGGGGACAGCCTACTAACCTACCTCCTCCTTAACCCATTGCATATGGGAATATGGTTTTGTTGTTGTTGTTATAAATAGAATTGTGATAATCTTTTTCTTTTCTCGCAAAACATTGTTTTTTAGGTATACATCACAAATATTTAGACTTATATCAATTAACCTATACTTTCCTATTAAAGAAATGATACCCAATTGCCCAAGGTACATCAAGTGAACATACTAGGTACGGAAGTCAAATATAAGTGTTAAACAGGAGTATAGGTATTGTAGCACACAACACACCTATACTAAATATCGGAAATAAAATTCATAACGTCAATGTATTATGAATCCATTATTACTCAAATTATATCATGATTCAAGAGTACACAACTGTACTAAATACAGGAGTGCACGGATGCACTATTACTGAAGTACACGAAAGTATTAAAATCAGAAGTGCTAGAATGCACTAGTTACGGGAGTACACATTGGTACTAATTTGGAAGTGCACAAATACACTATTACTGGATGTACTCGAATCAGGAGTGCACGGATGCATTAAATTCAGGAGTGCAGTAGTGCAAGTTGCATTAATACAGGAGTGCATAAAAGCACTGATAAAGGAGAGCATAATTGCAAGTGACTCCCTACCAAATTTAAATGTAACCTGAATTGTTTTTCTTCAAGCATATCAGCATATGTAACCTGAAGTGTTAAGGGCACTTTGGTAGTTCTCGGATTTGCTAGAATTCAACAACCCAAAGGATTGAAATATTCCCCATTTGTTATGAAACATATGAGAACCCGCTAACTCGGCTTGTTGCAGTTCATGTGTTTTTGTCTTTAAGCATAATAACAAATATGCTGATTGAAACTGATAAATATGATGTACGTCTTTAATACAAATTGATAAGAACCACACCCCAAAAGCTACCTACTAGAGCAAAAGACTGTCGGTCCGTATACACCCACAAAGAGATACTCTACTATGGAATTCAAGCCCCAAACCGCGATTAGGCACGTTACAAAGGGGAATGGAAGAAATGATTGCACAAATAATATGTGGATTTACATGGTAATAAAGAAAGCAAATTTTACTTGTGTTTTCCATCAAAATAAAACAAATCTAAGGGTCGAAAAACAACTTCACCTTTTGCTTAAAACTATGGAGGCCACGGCTGCACAAGGAAGATGAAGGCTGAATTTTCTTGATGTTTCCTTGAAAATAGACTGAAGCCTTTCAAGTTCTTTAACTTCTGAGTTCAACACCCCAAGTTCCTTTCTTTAGTGGAAGAGTGTTGGAATTAATCCATTTAAGAGATTTTTCATACACGAGCTCTCTTTCAAAAACTAAAGAGGCTGAAAAGCTCTGAAGTCTTTGAATCAAGATCATTTTAGTGATATTTCAAGGAAGGTCATGTTAAAAAAGGAAGAATTGGGGAGGATGCAACTTCAAAACCTCTCTTTGGGAACATTTGGGGCTGATGCATTGGCCAAGGCCTCATTGCATGTTGTTGCTTGAATTAACGAAAGCTGAGACCCTCTTCTACAAGCAGAAAGCAAAAGTTAAATAGTTGCTAGAACGAAACCAAGAGACAATTCTTTCATTCCATTGTGGTTGCCTGAACCTAGAAGAACAGCATTCGAGTTCTTCAGGATGAGCAAGGGAACAAAGTTGAATCGTTTGATGGAATGACTGATCTGACTGTTGATATCTAGAAAATCATTCGAGTTCTTCAAGATGAGCAAGAGACTAAATTCTTTCACTCCATTGTGGTTGCCCGAACCTAGAAGAACATCATTCGAGCTCTTCAGGATGAGCAAGGGAACATCATTTGAGTTCTTCAGTTCTTTCAGTCTGAGGGGTAAAAGGACTTGATGGTTAGAGAGGTATCTGATAAGGAAATGAAAGATACTATTTTTTTGTCAGGGATGATAAAGTCCCTAGAACGGATGGATTTACCTCTTGTTTTTTAAACCTGTGTGGCAAATTGTTAGAGGTGACTTTATTGTGGTAGTTTCGTTATTTTTTCACTACCTTTACCCTTTTACCTGCCTTCAACGCCACTGCTTTGGTCCTAATTCCTAAGACGTCTAATGCCAGCATGATGAAGGACTTTCAGCCTATCTCTTTTTGTTCTGATGTATATAAAACCATTACCAAAATCACTGTGGGTAGCCTTGCAGTTGTGTTCCCCAGCATGATAGCTCTGAACCAAACTGCTTTTATTCTTGGTCAAAGCATTGTTGAGAACACTATCCTTGCCTAGGAGCTAGTTACAGGATATGCTAGGAAAACTCTCTCTCCTAGATGTGCCCTCAGAATTGATTATAGAAGGCCTTCGACTCGCTGAGTTGGGTTTCATCCTTGGAGTCCTTAAGACTCTTGGTTTATGGTGAAGTTTCAAAATTGGATAAGAGTCTGTCTCACCTGGTCCAGATTTCTTATTTCCCTAAATGGGAGTTTGGTCAGGTTCTTTAAACGGGTTAGGGGCATTTGGCAGAGAGATCCCCTATCGACCTTTTTATTTGTTCTTGGCATGAATATCCTCTCGAAGCTGTTGGACATGGCTGCTGTAAAGGGTATCTTTGCATACCATCCTAGAATCAAAAAAAATTGGATTAACTCACCTTTACTTTGTCGATGAGTCGATGACCTGCTGATATTTTGTAAAGGCTCTTCCTACTCTTCGGTTGGTGTCCATTGTGTGTTGGAGAAATTTTATAAGATGTCTGGCTTGAAGTTGAATGCTGCCAAGAGTGGGGTTTTTGTCTCGGGAGTCACTTTAGAGCAGCTGGATAATATTCAAGGCTGAACAGGGTTCCAAATCCGTAGATTGCTTGTTCGTTATCCAAGGGTGCCTCTTGTAACTAGGAAACTCTCGGAAAAGGATTGTGCTCCTTTAATTCCCAAGATCCAGGATAGGCTTGGTTACTAGGAAAATAAGCATTTAAGCTATGCTGGTAGGCTCCACCTTGTGAAAGCGATTCTGTTCAGCATTACGAATTATTGGTGTCGTCAGCTCATTCTCCCTAAAGCAGTTATTAGGAGGTTGATCAACTTTGTGCTAGGTATTTCTAGAAGGGGAAGGATTCAGTTGCTTCGGGGGCAAAGGTGAGTTGGAAGCAAATATGTAATTCAAAATCGGTGGGTGGGCTTGGTTTGAAGGACATGGCCTGCTGGAACAAAGCTAGCATCCTCTTCCTCATTTGGAATATCTTAGCTGGGTAAGGGCCCTTGTGGGTTGCCTGGCTCAAAGCTTGTGTGTTTAAGTAGGTTGATTTTTGGCAATTGAAAGGCAAGGTGAATGTCGGTTGGAGTTTAAAGAAACTGTTGAGTTTGAAAGAGTAGGCTCGTTGTAAGTTGACTTAGGTGATTAGTTCGAATTTTATCGTCTAAGTTGCACAGATATCTACATCTTCACATGTTCTATCACAGTTCACTATAAACATGATTAGCCAACTCCAATAGTAAACTATTATGATTATCAACATTTTTTAACATAAGGCTAGTCTTCGATGATCATAGCATCTCATCGATAGTTTTATCACGATCGTCAACATTTTATAGCTGAAGGCTAGTCTTCAATGGTGAGGCATCTCATCCGTCTTTTCAGTTTAACGTTAATGACTATAAAAGATATT